AAAGTGATCCAGAGTGCTTTGGCTCTGCCAGTCTGGTGTTAATAGTATCCAGTTAAAGAGTAACACAGCACGCAGACATCAAATGGAGAATAAAATAAAGTTTATTATGTCGACTAAGTTGATAGTTAAAAAAACCTCCTTTCTATAAAGCTCTAGGCCCTGTGTGGACTCCAGAGAAAAAGCTCTGAACCTTGGGATCAATTAGGAACCATGGTAGATGTTGGGGCAGAAAGAAGCACAGGAATTCCATGTGGGAAGGAGTGGTTCAGGTCAAGATGAAAGCAAAGACTGACACACAGGTTACTACTGAGGTACTACTGAGGATATTTTTATAAATTATTTTCCTTAAGGACTGGCACAAATATTAGGTGTAATCTGATGAAATCAGAATGTTGTAGTGCATTAACAATGTTGGGGAAAGTAGAGGAATGCTGTACCATCAGAAAAGAGCAAGAAAGTCACCAGAAGAGACACTGACCTGCCTCTGCAAATGCAGCCCTGCCTGTATCCAGGTGGGAAATTCTCACTAGGTGAGCACAAGCCTGTAACTGCTTCTGGTCACCCATCTCCAGGAGAGGAAAGGTGAACAGCAGTACAGCAAAAAGAGCTACCATGGCATTAGGTGCAGGGACAGGCAGACTAGTGAGAAAATGCTGGAAAAACTTGTTCAGTCTTCCCTGTAATGGCTGAGAGGGAGATGATTGCAGTCTACAAACACACTGTAGCATCAACACCGAGGCAGGACCGTGGTGAGATAAATTACAATGCTGGCACAGGAACAAGTGTTTATTAACCAGCCGTGCATCAAATTAAGCTGGAAATGAGATGATTCCTAATAATTAGAATAGTGAGTTCTGAAAGTGCCTTCAGAGCAGAGGAGAGTGAGTCGAGTCCCGGCCACTTTTTAGGAGGCGGATTGGCCTGGCTGTGGAGGCACCACGGGATGGAAACACTCTGGAAGCTGCACGCGGTCAGAGCGGCCTCTCTGGGCTCTGTCCGGTGCCTGTTGCGGTGTCACGAGGGGGATAAAAGCCTATGAGCCGCAGGTTTATGGACCTGCACGGGTCTCCCTCATGCCGTCACCAGCACCCTGGAGCCAGCCCTCCGCACCGCTCGCTGACCCACCGCAGCCCGCGCCCTTCCCCAGCCATTTTCCACCTTCCCCTCACGCCGCTCGGCCCTGCGGGCAGAGCCCGCCCGGCCCCTCAAGCCCCGCCGCGGTGGGCGTGGCCACGGAAAGGGCGGGACGCGGCGGGCGCGCCGATTGGTCGCGGCTCTCCCGAGGGCGGGACTCTGCACTTTCTGCCAATCGGCAGCGACGAAGGGGCGGGGCTTCCCGCTTTAATGGCGGGGGCGGCCGTGGCGGCGGCAGATTGGGGTGCGGCTGGCGGTGAGTGCGGGTGGCCGTGGGGTGGAGGGTGTGGGGTCCGGTCTTGTCGGGCAGGGGGTGAGGTGGGGATGTCTGGTCTATTCTAGCGATCATTTCGGGTCTTTGTGAGGGGGGAGTTCGGGTGGAGGTATCCGAGGTTAGTGGTGGGTCGGGGCTGGTCGCTGGGGTGTGCTGAGGGGGCTTCGGAAGGTGGTTGTAGAGCCGGAGGGTGCTGAGGAGGCCTTAGCAGGGTTCGGCTGCTTTGGGGGTTTAAGCTTTGCTGCCAGGAATGGTGGGTCCTGCCCTGGGGAAGCCATGTGCTGGCTTGGCACCTGTTAACTAGGCTGCTGGAGGAGGCTCGTGTGTATGTCCATGTTCCTGTCACCTGGGATGCTCACGGGCACGGGGGGAGGTGTGTGGTGTCTCCTCACCACAGGGGTGGGGAGGCCGTGGTCTGATGGGTGGGATGGGTGTTGCGATACTGTGACGTGCCCTTGCCGGGTGATCACGCTGGGTGCGGCTGTGGAGGCTGTCACCCCCCCGCAAAGGGGGGTACCCACAGCACTGTGTGGCAAGTCCACCGGTGTGCAAACCCGCCCGTGTCAGACGGAGGGACACGAGCGGAGTCTGAGTTGAACTGTTGAAGTGGTTTTTGGGTTTGTGGGGTTTTGGTTTTTTGCTTTTTTTTTTTTTTTTTTTCTCTCAAAAGCAACAGGGTTCTGTGAGGAGCTGTAGTGCTCCTTGGCTCGCAGCCTGGTGCCGCTGTCTCAGCGCACCCATGGTGCCAGGGAAGGGTGCAATTCCCTTCCACAGTCGGCTGCTCTCCTTCGGGGCAGCGCCGGCCCCTCTGTGCGAGGCTGGGATGCTTTCCCGGCCGGTCGGGGGGAAGGACTGTCCCTCCACGCTGTGTGCTGTGGCACAAACACCGGCCTCCGTCCCGGCAGGCCTCTGCCAGAGGCCGCGCTGTGTCCCGGCCGTGACGGGGCTGCCTCCCCACTGCTGGCCGGTGGCCCGAGCTCAGGGTCCGCCTGCTTCCCTGCTCAGGGATCGGTGGCTGCGCAGCCTCAGGAGCGAGATCGGCATCGCCCTGTTGGCGTTTTGGCGGGATTGTCGCAGCTCCACAGGCAGCGGAGTAACCCCGCGGGCTCGCTGAAAGGTGGCTGAACCCCCACACGTCGCGGCGGCGGCGCGGTGCCTCTCTGGGCCCGCTGCGGCCCTTCCCCGCCGCGCAGGCCCCGCTTCCGGGCCCGTCCGCGCCACACCCGAGCCGGGCCGGGAACCGCCCGGGCGGGGGGGACCCGGCGCTCCCTCCGGCTGCAGCGGCGCCGGGGCCTTTGCCAGAGGGACTCGCAGGGGTGGCAGCAAGGCTGAGCGGGGCGCTGCTCGGCTCCTGCCATGGGCATCGCTCTGAGAGCTGCGGGTACGCTGCGCAGCCGAGGGCTGTGGTCTCCTGGGCTTCTCGGCAGCGGGGCGCGAGCAGCCCCCGGCGGCCGGGGAGCTTTCTTTTACCCAGCCGTCGGCATCAATGTAACCATTCAGATGGCTCTCTCCTCCTCCTCCGGGCAGGGTGGCAGTACCAGGCCTCCCCCGCTGCTGCGACACAATGTCAGCTTTGAGTGCCGGCTCGTGTAGGTGCTTGGCCTCCCGCTGGCCCTCGCTCTGGAACGCGGTGGCAAGAGGAGGAGGTCACTGTCACCCCCCTGGTAGCAGCAGTTGCCTGGCATCAGGCTGACCTGGCACTGGTGTGGTCGTTCACAGGGGTCTGTGCTTCCTGGACCACTGTCGGCTCGATAACCACTGGCAGTACAGGGCTTGGTCTGTAGATCTCTACTTGGGCCAGTTCCTCTGTTGTAACGAAGGGGAAGCTGGGAAAGCTACTTATTTTTACGTTGTAACAGACTAAATGAGGCAGCATAAATAGGCATTGAAACAAGAGGCTAAGCTTTGGGGCTGTCAGTCTATGCCTCAGTGCCTGGGCTGCTGTCTGCAGAGGGGCTGTCAGGTGCTTTCCCTGTGGCTGATCATGTTTGCTCTGTTCATGTTGAGGAAAAGTGGGGTGAATAGCCCTTCCTGTGCTCAGTGGGCAGCATGGGATAACACTGGTGCTTTACCTCCTAGCGCATTTTCTCAGAGCATCTGTTCCCCTCCTGGAGGCCAGGATTGCCTGTGCAGCAGTGCATCTGTCCTGCTGTGCTGTCCCAAGCTGACCACCTTCTCTTCTACCAGAATGCAGCCAGGGCAGATTCCTAGCTGGATGGAGCTGACCTTCCCACCAGACCTGCTGGGCAGCTTCCCGAGGGTAGTTTAGAGTCAAACAGCTGGCTGAGCCCTTGGGGCTTGGCTGAGACTGCTGTGCCTTATCTCTTTCCTAGGAAGCCCCTCTAGCTCATGGGTGTGAGCTGCTGCTAACAGCCTGTTCCTATGAGAAACAGCAAGATGCCAGCTGTTGCAGCATCTACTTGCTACATCTTGCTGTGGGATTAAGCTGTGCCACCCACACAGCCTGGGCCTCTGTGGTCCTGCCTTGTGTTGTGTTCTTATTTTTGTTTCCTGAAAGCCTGTTGGTGGGGGCGATTATGTGGTCCTTCAGGGAAGAAGTGTAATATGAAAGTACTGTTAAAACTGAGACTTGGGAATCAAAGCTCACTCTGACCTACAGGTGTCTCATACCATATGTTAGAGATAAAAAATAAGGGAGCTTATTGAAGTAGCATAGTGTCACCTTTCTCTGCTGATGGAGAACAGCATTGCATCCTGAGGAAGCTCTGAAGCTGGTATCAGGGGCAGGTGCTTGACTGGGTGCTGTCCTTGAATGTTACAGGTGAATGCTTTCTTCTTTTCTGCTGGGGGTTACAGCACAGTGAACACTTAGCCTGAGACACTTACAAGGGACATGGGGAGTGGTGCCTGTGATGGCCCAAGAGATGCTCTGTGTTGGAGTTCTGGTAGTGTGTGCCCTACTGGCTGTCCGATGGTGGGAGTACTTGGGCTGGAAAGTCTGGTTCTTGCCAGTCAAACAGGTGAGGCAGCTTGGGCTCTTATAGGGAGGAGACGGTCCCCAGGAGACAGGACTCTTCCCTGCAGGAGTTGTGGGGCTGCTGTTGCACAGAGATGACAAGTTGTAGCTGCCACAGCCTATTCCCTACCATCAGGCTGTTGTCTGCATTCTGAGCCTTTAGTGGCTTGAGGATGGTGCAGGTGACAACTGGATCTGATATTTATTGATTTCCCTGTTTCTTGATTTAGTGTGTCACAGGGTCGATTCTTTGCTCTGGGATGGCTTGAGGTGGTGAGCTGTCACTGGCAGCAAGTTCTCCAGCTTTGTTGCAAGGAGCTGTCTTACTCTGTGAATCAGATCAGCTAGCTTGCTCTCATAGTTTAAGATCTGCTCTGTGCACACACAAATTTTATAACTCCTGCTGCTTTTACTTAACCCTACGAGGCTCTCCCTGTCGATACAGCAATAGAAGCATGTGCATTGAATGAGTGGTCAATCTACACCCATGTCAAGATAGCCAGGCTTCATACTTCACTTTCTTTCTGCTTGGAAGGCTGTGAACCTCCTTGAATGTGGAAACCATTAAGCCTCAAGCATGTTGGGTTCTAGGTGCATATACTGTGCTACTGGAGTATGACCTCTTCATACTGTCAGAGAATATCCTGCTCTCTTGTTAGAAGATGGTGTGACTGCACTGCCTTCTTGGTGTGGAGGGTACAGAACCCAAAGCTGGTGTCATGGTAAGTTCCAGGCAGCAGCCTCTTGTCTCATTGAGAAGTGGCTCTGGGCTCATACCTTCTTGAGGCCCAAAGGTCTTCTTGAATAGTTGAAATAAAGCTGTTGGAGGGAATTTGTTAGTCTTTCCTTTCTGCCTCTTGCTTTGTGTATTTTAATGTCCGACTTGTCTTGATATACCTGTCTAATTAATGTGCAGGCCTGAGTGGGGAAGAACACACTAATCATTACTGTATTGTGATTACAGCCAGGGCTGCAAGAACAGAGGTGCAGCCTTATATTGAGGCATTTGCATAGTGATTAAAACCAGAGATGAGTGCTGTGGTGCAGCCTGTCCCACCTCCAGACAGGGGTGCTCTGTTTCTTTGCTAGGTGGCTTTAGAAGGCTGACCTGATTTCGGATGCAGGTATTAGAAGTTGGCCTAGCTCAATGTAGCCCTGCCTGCCCTCCTGCCACCTGCCTAGTTCTGTCCTTCCTGAGTGTGCTTTGTGCACTCGGGGAGGCTGCTGGGTGCCTTCACTTCAGAGAGGGAGCTCAGCCATCTCTATCTTCCCCCTTCACCTGGTGCTGTATGAGGGAGTGCCACAGATCAATATGGTTAGTTCAGAAAGGAAATACCTTTTTTCCACTTCTGCTGGTATCTCATATTGTTTATTTTTTCCCTGCACTTCTTTATTCCTTTGTTCCTTGCTGTGTCAGATTTTCTGCCTAATGTTGCCTCTTCTGTTTTTTTTTTTTTTTCCTCATCTCATATGCTCTCATCTCTACTGATATCAGTTCTCTGAATATGCAGCCACCAGCTTTGAATGTGATAAGGAGTAAACCTACTCTTAACAGCTTGGGGAGGTGCTGCCCCTGAAAAAAGTATGCTGTGCATATTAAACCTCTTACTGCAAGGTATGCGCTTGTGGGGACCTTGAAGTCTGATTACCTGCCTTGATTTTTGTACAAGGTTACCCAACCCTATTGCAATCGATGTCCCCCTTTCCCTGAAAGCTTGTGAGGTGCCACACTGACTGTCAGTCATAGCTGTCCTGATAATCTGGGAGTCTCCTCTTGCTTTCCCTGCTTCCAGTGAGTATGGGAAGGGGAGAGCTTAATCTGTTTGTAGGATGCTATCCAAAGGCCTCAGGGTTTTACAGCCACTGCGTGAGAGAATGGTAGGGTATTAACACACACTTGGTGAGGATGAGGAAACTGCTCAACTTCAGGCAGGACACTTCGTGCCACTTGGATCCAGTGTGCCAGGGGCAGCACCCAGCCTGTGTGATGCCCTCACCGGTTGCAATGGCAGCTCTTGCAAGAGGTGTTACATATCACGACTTGGAGAGTTTGCATCCCTTATGTCTCTCAGTACCTCCAGTACCAGGTTGTTGGCTGTGTCCTTTGACACTCAGCATGAAGTAGGTGAGCCAGAGGAAGTGACCAATGGAAAGGATTCAAATAGGAAAACTTATCTGGTGGTGCTAGCATCAAGTCTTTGTAGTTAGGTTGTGAATGGAGTTCTGGGACTGGTTGCTCACAAATTCCAATCAGTGTTTGCCCCAGGTCCTCAGAGCTGAGGTGCCAGGCTAGCAGAGTTGCTTTACTGCCTACATCTGTTGGTGTGGCTTTCCACACTTAAAACATAGAAGCTCTGGTTGTCCTGCCAGACTTGTCTTCTGTGGCTGGTGACAGGCATATCTTTATACTGATTTCTTTTGAGAAAAAACATTACTTTAGAAGCATGTGGGCAATGCTATCTTAGCTTGAGTCTTCGGTGAATGGCTGAAATTATTAGCAGGAATGCAAGTGTACTTGAATACAGCTCTCCTGTTGAGTGGCCTCTGCTGCATGTGTTTGAGTTGGTGTTAGGAGATGCTGTGTGTGAAATAAGTGTGTACTGCCTGGTTACAAGCCCCTCTCTCTTTCACTGGGCACAGAGCAGCAGACAGTGGAGATCCAAATTGTTTCCTGTGCTTCACTCTGCACTTCAGTCTTAGAGTCATCCCACTGCAGAGTTGACAGAAAATAGGGGTTTGCAGCTTATTGCTGGATGGGCTCCTTCTCTCTCATCTTGCTCTGACTGCCTTGCTGCCTGTGTGTTGTTTGGGGCACAAAAATGTTCATATTCCTCATCTTGCTGGATTCACTTGTGCATAAGCTGAGGAAAGCTGCTGGAGCTGTGGCTGTCAGCTCTTGGTGATGTTTTGTGGTGCCAGCCTTGTGTGTGCAGTACACACCCCTCTCTGTGGCTGGCTTGATCAGTTCCACTCTTCTGCAGGGAAATGTAGTCCATGGGCACATGGGGCTGTGTGCAGGCTTTGTTAGATCCCATGGTGATTTTCTGGAATGCCAGGCGATTGGGTAGGTGCTGTGGTGGGGAGCTGGGGGAGGAAGATGCCTCTTCCTGAGAGGTGGTGGAGCTCAAAGCTGCATCAGGCAGCAAGCCCTGTTGCCAGCTTGTAGGTCAGGGATGTTAGTTTCACATCTGGCCAACTGATTATCTCCTGACCTTTGAGGGCTGCTACTCCCTGGGAAGCCCCACAGGGCCAGGCCTGCTTTAGCCAGTTCAGCAAGGGCCCTGTGCCAGCTCTCCCTGGGGTGGCAGCTCTGTGGCCATCTACCAGAAGGATTTGGTGCTGCCTTTAATTAAACTAGTGGGGAGATGAGGGTGTTTGCTTTTGCACCTATTACAGGACTGATTTCTGACCTGAATGCTGAGGAGTAGGAGTGTTCGATGTCTGGGGCAGAGTCTGTTGCTTGCAGATAGTTGTTGTGTGGGGAGATGTGTGCCCTGCAAGGCTGTCAACAAAACTTACTGGGTTGAGCTCTGGTCTCTGTCAGTGTCATGGTTCTGACAGTGCTGTGGTCTGACTGGGGCTGGTCATAAAAGGCCTTGCTGTTGTTGCTGAAGTTGCACTAATTAGCTGTATAGCTTGCTGGAAATATGCAGTCTACACATTGCTTGGCGTAAGCAAGTATTTAATCCTTGATGTTGGTTACTGGAGCAGATTGTGGCCTGATACTCTAGTTTGCAAATAGTGGGAACTTTTTGTCTGACACGGGGAAGTGACTCGCTGTTGCTGAGAGATAGGAGATGTGTTGTAAGGTTTCTCTATATCATCTAGGGTGTGTTTGGGCCCCTAGGGTTCCTGCTCATTTGGGATGCTTGGACCTATTTGCTTGATTTCTCTTCAGCTGTTCAAGGCTCAGCTTTGGGTTCTGCATCTCTTCCCCACTCCTTGCTTAAGAAGGTCAGGATTTAGGAGGAGTTAGAGGAAAGTAAGTGTCCCCCATGTGCAGAGAGGACAGATCCAACCACTGAGCTGTGAACACCTGCACTGTGTGATGCGCTGTGTAGCGTGGAGTGCAGTAAGAGCCAATGTGTGTCTGGGTGGTGAACCCCTCTCAAAGTGCGGAGGGATGCTGTGCACAAAGGAGAGTTCAGGTTCCTGGACAGTTGATGCTCTGTGCTGGAAAACCCCTGCCTGCACCAGAAAGGCTGGCATGGAGCAGTCATGGTTTAGGCAGGCCAGTGCACTTCACATCCCCCTGCCCAGTGAAGGTAACTCTTGGGTGTGCCGTGTAACTCCCACTTTGCTGCTCAACTGTCAACACCCCAAGGCCAGTGGCTGCCCCTTGAAGGACAGAGGAGGGCAAGACATACCTGCATCTGCTCACTGAGCAAGGCATACTTTGGCCACTTTGATGTAGGATGATGTAGCATGCCAGTGGGGACAGATGCCAGGTCTTCCAAAGACCTGAAGATCTCAGGGGTTTCCCTGGAGATGTGGTTGCTCTGTTAGCTTAATTTAGCAGGATGTTTTTCTGCCTAGAGAAACTGAGGAAAACATATAGGTCCTTTCCATAAGGGCCTGTAGCATAATTCTACTATGTCTGTCTTGGTAGAAATCTTGGTGCTTGCCCAGAGCCTGTGTTCAGATCAGGTTCAATGGCTCCCAACTTCCTGTGGCATGTGTGGCTGTAGGAGTGTCGGAGGCACTTCCCAAAACAGCAATAAGACAGACTTGTTACTGTTCACACTGGTAGGGACTTCTGTGCTAGTCCTGGTTTGAAAAGGGCTTATCCCACTGCTTGGGAGAATAGCTGTCATGGACCCTGAATTGTTTTGAGCTGGGGTCCTAGTTGGCCAGTGGTACTGGGGGCTTTGGCCCAGGGTCAGGGAAGTGATCCGTAGTGTCTGAGCTGAAATGTGTTTCTGCAGTGTGAGATGTAGCTATGAATTCAAAGACAGCTGACACTCTCTTCTCATCCTAGCCTGCTCAAAATAGGCAAGTACTCAGCAGGATTTTTGTCTCTGCCCTGGACCTGTAGTAAGGTTGACTCATTCACCTTGATAAGATAAACACAGACCTTGAATAGTCAGGTGCCTCTGCTGGGAGCTGACTCTTGAGGGCTCCTCAATCTAGCAAATAAAGGTGTAGCTGGATGTAGTGGTTGAAAGCTGAAACTAGACAGACAAGTTTGGAGCTTGCTCTTAGCCATTAAAGCAGCATAAAGCTCAGCAGCTTTCCAGACTTGTACTTACTGTATTTCCCACAGCTGAGCCTTGAGTGTCTCTTAAGGATGCAATAGTTTCTGCTGCATTTCTAGCTGGCTTTTGCTGCACATGGTGAGTGGATTATCTTGGCAGTACCCAGAACCTTAAATATTTCTTGCATCACGGTGATACTACATGTGAGTATTACTTGCTATTAAACCCTTTGATACCTTGCTTGGGAGGGTGAATGTGTATTTTGCTGCAGTGGTGCCCCTGATATGTGGGGGGATCATTCCTAAGTGGGCTTTGTCCTGTTGCTTCATCTGCCTCCAAGATAGCATAAGGAACCACCTTCTGAGCTTTCTGAAACACAGCAGAACTTCTTGGGCTCTGTCCTTGGGCTGCATGACTGTGCAGGCTGCTCTGGAGCCTTGCTTGGGGGAACAGGTGTTTTGGATTGAGGTGAAGGAGGAGACCTCTTCCTGCCTGCTGCCCTTGCAAAAAGGTTAGGTGGCACTCCCCAGTCTGGAGGAATGCAGAGGGTATGACTGGGCAGGCGCAGAGCCAGCACTGCTGCTGCACCAAACTGATTTGCAGGGAATGGTGAACCAGAATGGTGTGTGCCAGGCCCCCCTGAAGATTACTGCTGGCAGAGCCTGCCATGGAGGTGCCTGGTAGCTCTGCACAGGAAGTGTCTGCTGCCATCCTGCCTACAGCAAAGATGACATTGAGTTCTTTCTCTTGCTGTGAAGCTGAAGGTGCAGTGCTGGTGTTGTCTGGTGAGGGCTTGAGGTGGCAGTGGCTGCTGAGTACTTGGGGACCTTACTGGGAAGAAGGGTACTCTGGCTTCAGCCTCCTAGCTGGTCTGGAAGAGGCTATGTGCTTCCTGGAGGTGGCAGCAATATATCTCCTGGGAAGGCTGGGCTGGGGACCCGTTTCCCCCAGGCATGTGTGGGCAGCGACTCCAGTGCACCTTCTTGGAAGGGGTAGGTGGAATGTCTGGTAGCAGCTGTGGGGAATGCCTCCCTCACAGATGGATGAGTCAGGTGAGGCTGGGCCTATGCCCTGCCTCCCTTTCTGCTGCTCTGGTGTCCTGTGGGCTGGGGAGAGGTTGGGGAGAACAGGGGACGGGTGAGAGCGTTTAAAACTTGCCTGCGGCAGTAAGAGCCTGAGTCCTTCCTGCTTTTCTGGAGAGCATCTGCCCGGATCACTTTCTGGTGTGTGTTCATATTGAGGCTGAGCAAGTGTGGGGAGTGCCAGTCTTTCTCCCTACAGCCTTCCATCATATGGTTTTCTCTTGTCTGGAAGGGGAGTGGAAATGCCATTGCCAAGCAGGATGCACCTGGCCTCTGAGGTACTAGATTATGTGGTAGTAGTTTCTTGTCCGGAGGATTTTGTGCAAGGATGTGAAACCAGGAACTTTGACACCAGAAACTGATGTTTGTTTCTGAACCTATGGATTTCCTTCCTCATGTAATGGGCCTGCCAGTGATGGTGTGCTGCTTCTGTGGTGGGAATCAGTTGGCAGGCACCCAAAGCTGACCATAAAGGCACTGTGCTGTGGAGAGTGTGGGCCAGCCCTGCATCTCTGCTCCAGGGTCACACAGAGAAGTGTGCTGAGTAGATATGGCTGCCAATGCTGTTGGCAATGTCATGGTGCTTGTGGATGATAATGCTTGAGCTTGTACAGCAGGAGCAAGATTAAGGGGCTGGAGATAGAGTGCTGAGGTTGGAAGCTTTCCTAGCTGGCTTGAAATGTTGTGTTCTTGCCTTGGAAGGACTGCTGGCATTCAATGATGGGGTTCCCAGCAGAGCTGGGGAAACAGAGCCAGGCTCTGTGAGAAGTGAGGAGGCCTGTGGCTCAGCTGGAAAGTGGATTCTGGTGTGTGGTCAGCTGAAAGCAGCACTGGCCAGATATATGACTGTTTCTCTGAAGTTGGGCTTGGAGTTTACTGATCTGCAGGGCTGTGCTCTGTAGGCTGTGATCCTGGGAAAACAGCTACTTTATCTTCCCTGCCTCTTTCCACAGAGACACTGCCACCACCATGGAGGGGATTGTGACTATGTATCAGGACTTCATGAAGAAAGCAGGTTAGTGTTTGGCTCTGCCCAGCTATCAGACAGCGCTACATGCTTTACTGACAGAGGCACTGGGGGGTGGTCTGTCATCCCTGAAGCATCCCTTAGTGTAACTGCATCCGCCTTTGCCCTTACACAGTTGCCAGATGCAACTTTGGAGTTTTTGTGCTGCCTGTTATGAGGCTCTCTTGCATCAGTGACTGTGTAAATTGTTTTGGGGCACTTGTGTTTTCCCGGGCAGATGATCTCCAGGCTGCCCTGCAGCATGGCTTCAGGTTATACTGTGCTGAGTCTGGCTGACTTCGCCAGCCTCTGCTCCCAGACTGCTTCCCTACTTGCACTTGTGTCCTAGAACAGGATTGCCGTACCCTTGCCTCCACTGTGGCAGCAGCCTGGGGTAAGGATGCTAATTGCTCTGCACTGTGGCTCTTTCTGCAGACCCCCGCATCGCTGATTATCCACTGATGCAGTCCCCATTCCTTGTGATGGGCATCCTTCTGGGATATGTCTACTTTGTCCTATCCTTGGGTCCCCGGCTAATGGCCAACAGGAAGCCTTTAAACCTGAAGAAGTTCATGGTGCTATACAACTTCTTTCTGGTGGGACTCTCCCTTTACATAGTCTATGAGGTGAGTTGTCGGTAGCTTGGTCGGGCATGTGTAAAGCAGCGTGTGCAGGCTGTGTGGGTGATGGGGAGCCCTTTTCCTCGCTGTTCCCTGCCCTTCTGTGCAGAGCTTGATGTGCACTGGGTGATATGTTAGGCCTCACCTTGATGATGCTCTTGTTGCAGTTCCTGATGGCAGGGTGGCTCACTGGGTACACCTGGCGATGTGACCCTGTGGACTTCTCACAGGACCCCAAGGCCCTCAGGGTGAGTTCTCATCCCTCTCCTGATAAGTGGGGATGGCCTTTAGTGCTTCTGTTTGAATGGCAGGGTCACAGCTCTTGTCTTTCCTGAGGCAGAGGATGTGCAGTCTCTGGGCCTTGGTTTCATGCCAGGGTAACTGTATGAAGCCCTTCACTCACTGGGCTTGTTCAGGCTGAGGCAGGTCTCTAATGTTAACCTGTTCTGTTTCAGATGGTCAGTGTTGCTTGGCTCTTTGTGTTCTCCAAGTTCATTGAACTGACAGACACGGTGAGTTATTGAGAAGGCCTTTTCACCACTTGCTGGGCAGGGAGCTGAGCCCAGTGTATTTGGGGTAGGTGCTTTTGCAGCCTTTCCAGTCTGACCTGGTAGTGCTTCTGTCTGGCATCACTGCCAAGGAGGCCACCCTGGAATATTAGTACTGAGGCCACTCTTTACATGCTACAGCTCTGGAAGCTGTGGGGTGACCTAATGGGTGATGACAATGAGTGGGGAGGGTGGGAAGCATCATTGAGATCACACACTGAATTAGTGGCCCAGCCTGCTCTAACTGCTTCCAGGGCTGCAGGTTCTTAATGCTGGTGGGCTTTCATTGCAGGTGATCTTTGTCCTGCGGAAGAAGAATGAACAGGTCACATTCCTGCATCTTTTCCACCACTCTGTTCTGCCATGGAGCTGGTGGTGGGGAGCGAAGTTTGGTCCAGGTAAGATGGCAACTGTCTGGGTGCATGGATTGGGTATGGTTACCCCAGCATGCTGAGAAAGGGTTTTTGGCCCTGCTGTGCTCTTAGCAACTGTGTAGTGCTGATTGCTGTGGAGTATTGACTTACACTAAGGAAAATCTATCTTAACAGGGGGAATGGGCTCATTCCATGCCATGATCAATTCCATGGTGCATGTTGTCATGTATTTCTACTATGGGCTCTCAGCAGCAGGACCTGCCTTTCAGAAGTACCTGTGGTGGAAGAAGCACATCACAGCCATCCAGCTGGTGAGTCTATGTGGTGGAGCAGAGCGTGTGCCTCATGTGAAGGGCAGGCCAGCCTTTATACCTCTGAAAGGTGCAGCCAGCAGCAGTTGTCTCCTCTGTAGCATATTGCTCTGAGTTTTTAGCAGCTTTGGACCTCTGATAGCCCTACCAGCCTGGTTGGGGTGTGGGTGCTGTTTAGCTCCTGGGCTGCAGCCATGTTGGGAGGGTGAGAGGCATATGCTGCTCTGAGACTTGTGCCTGCCTCTTCTAGCTGCTGCTGAATGCCTCACCATAAGGACCTTTGCTTCAGACTGGGAAAGGAGTCTAGGTGTTGCCTTTAAAAAGAAGGTCTCTAGTGGGTTCCCTGACCCTGCTCCCATGAATAACTTGTTCTTATTCTGCCTTGCTCCCAGGCACAGTTTGTGATTGTCTCCGTCCACATCTCCCAGTATTACTTCATGCCCAACTGCCAATACCAGTTCCCCATCTTCATTCACCTTATCTGGATTTATGGGACCATCTTCTTCATCCTCTTCTCCAACTTTTGGTACCAGTCCTACACCAAGGGCAAACGGTTGCCCAGGGTGGCTCAACAAGCAGCCCAGCACAACGGTAGCAGCATCCATGAAAATGGCACTGTCACCAATGGCAAGGTCAAAGCCAACTAGAGGGTAAAGTGCTCCCAGAGCCAATGAGAGCCCCGGGGCAGAGGCAGCTGGGACCTGTCCCTCTGCTCCTGGGTGCCACTAGCCAAGTCAAGTGCCTACAGACTGTTGTACCCCTGTGCCCAGTCCTGCTGTCCCCTGTCTGCATGCTCAGCCCCTCTGCTCTGAGCAGCCATGGGCCTCTTCTGCTTCTGGGAGGGCTTGTGCTGTTTCTCAGTGTTGCTGAGCAGAGAGGCAGCTGCCTGCATCACAGCTGTGGGGCTGCAGTCCCATTCCAGTGTTTCCAAAGGAACTTTCCCCAAGTGCCTACATCTGGCTCTTCTGCCTAGGGGCCATTTCCTTCTGAGTAGGACCAAAAGAAGAGACCGCTTCCTGTCCTGGTGCCCTCTCCTCTTCCCTGACTCACAAGAGCTTGTGTGGATGAGCAGATTCATCCCTGGCTGCTTGTTACTGCCAGCTCATGTGTGAGTGCTCCTGCTCTACGATGCCTTGTGCCACTTTGTTCTATGCCACAGTGCTGCATGTCCCTTCTGGTCCCTGTGTGCCCAGCTTGGGAGTCCTGCCCTGGCATATCTGTGCCCAGGTGTCTGTGGAGAACGTAGGGGCAGTACTTATGGGACTTCAGGGCCCAGACCTGCCCAGTACAGTACCCATGCCTGTGCCTAGTACATAGCAGGGGCTGTGACAGCCTGAAAGGCTTCCCCCATGTGATAAACCCAGGTTGCCTTGCTGTTCTTGTGCCTGGGCTGGGTGCTCAATGTGTGCTTAAGCCACACTTACCTGATCCTCTAAGGCAGCTGGTGGCTCACTGCAGAGTGGGGGAGACCAAGCTCAGCCTACTTGGACCACTTCCATTCCTGTAAATTCAAGACCTGAGCAATAAGTGCCCCTAAAATCAGCTCCTGGGCTCTCCTGCTTGGGTCCAGCCCTGCTCTGGCCTAGCCTGAGCACAGTGGAGGGTGGTTTTAAGTGTGCTCGGCTGTGGTGCAAGAGTGAGCACCTCTTGCCTCTGTGGATCTGACTGGGCCCGTGTGAAGATGTGCTCTGCTCTTCAGCAGGGCAGTGCAGCTGCTCTTCCTGGCCTGGTGCCCGTCACCTGCTCTGATTGTAACCAAAACATGCTGATGGCCTCGAGGACGAGGTGAAGAAGCCAGGCCCTGTCAGATTGGGCTGCTCTTCTATGACAAATAAACAAACAGAAGGAGAAATGGCTCTGTCCTCTTGTTTTCTTGGCTCAATATAAGCAAAAGCTCTTCCAGGTGCTTGGTCCTGCCCAGTGTGGTTGAAGGCAGGGCTGGAAGAAGCAGCTGGTGTAGCAGGTTTGTGCTGGGGGGGGAAGAGAGTGATAGTTGTGTGCTGATGAAGCAGATGGCAGATTGTTTCCAAGTGTTTTGGTAGAGCAGTGCTCAGAGCTGAATGTGTGTCAAGGCTTCTGTTGTGAAAGTGACTCCACCCTATCAGAAAATGGCTGGGGTGGAGTGTGGGTGTGGGCTGGGCCCTGGGCCACCTGCCCAGGAAGAACTGCTTTTCAGAAATTATGGGGATTTGCGATGTGGCAGAGAAGGGAATAGACATTTTGGAAACTTGAGTGCTTGAGGAACAGCAGCTTGTTGCATATTACATCTGCCAAAGCAAAAACTGCTGCCATCTGTGAATGCGCCTGTAGCATGGATCTGTGCACAATGTAGCTCAGGTTGGTCAGAGGAAGGTTGATGTCTTGCTTTTGCTGCAGAAGTGCATCTTTGCATGGCTGGGCTTTGTTAGCTTTCCAACTGTCTCATTCTTGTGCCCCTTCAGTGCTGTTGGGGTGTAGGGCTGCTTTCCCCATTACCCTGTGACAGGAGCCCTCTTGAGCAGAGGGCAGCCTGTGTGCTGACTCAAGCCTGGGAAGAAGAGTAGGGAGCCAGCTGGGCAGCATGTGGCTGGGAGGAATGTGTTAGATCAGCAGCCTCCAGATGCTGAGTTTCACTGTAGGTTTGGTTGTGGTATGGGAGGGCTTTGGTGGATGTCCAGCCAAAGCCCTGGAGCAGAGCTTGGTGTGAGAGAGCTCTGCTGATCTGACCTGGGCTGCTGTATGCCTCAAGGCTATGCTCTGAAATGTAGGAAAGCATCTTCAAGTGAACTGATGTGACTAATATGCCTAAACTACACATGACCATCACCCTCTTCTACAGCACTCAATGTCCTTGTGTGCAAGAAGTCATAAAATGGGATCTGACTGCTGCACTGTGCAGTGTTCTCCCAGTTGTTGATGCTTCTCTTCGAGTAAAGACTTGGATGAGAATTCGTTCTTGTCCATGCTGAAGTGGTGTGTAATGTTAGTTCAGTGCTCAGAAGTCTTCACTTCAGGAGCTGTAGGTGATGGTTCAGCTGACATGGACCTTTTCCTGTCAAGCCTCCTTTTCCCTTCCAGCTGGCTCTTGCCAAAGACAGGACTGTCTTTGCTTTTTCCCGGAATAGTAACAATGCTTTAAACTACTTATCCTTGGTATTTTAGAATGGGCTGTTCCCTGCATGTGCTCTGCTCTCCCTTCCTCCAATTGTTCCTGTTAGCTGTGTTCTTCTATGGGCTGGCCATGGCACTTGGTAAATTAATATGCTGTCATGCTGTGAGCTGAATTCACACCTTATAGGGCTTTGTTTACTGGGTCTGCTGGATCAGTGCCCACTTCCTTCCTCTGCTCCTCCTTACTCTAGGACTGTAAGAGACTAGCATGGGGCCAAAGACCCTGCAATATCATTACACCCTAATAATGCTCAGAGGTCCTCCAAGGGCTATGTAATGCACAACATCTGGGTGTGGGGCATGTGCTAAGGAGAAAGAAAGAGGCTGTGAGAGAAAGCTGAGCTGCTCTTACATGGGAGTGAAAAAATTACAGCAACTTTTCAGCATATAAAGCTTTCTTCCAGGTCAGGGACCAGGGAAGGCCTAATCAGCTGTGGGCCATGGGGCAAGTCTGTGCTAACTCCCAGCACCAAAGTGCAGGGGTGTGGGGCAGGGCTCCAACAACAGCGGCACAGCTCTGTGGGAGAGCCCAACCTTGCATCTGGGTTCCTGCCTGCTTCCTCATTAGAGACAGCTGTGGCCCCAGAATTTGTGTCTGAAGAGGGAGAGTTCCTTCCTTGGACCTCCTGTGATCTTTCCCAAGTGGCCAAATGAGGATGCACCAGCAGCACTGCTGGGAAGGTGCTGGGCTCAGTTGCTGTTTTTTGAAGACTGTGCCCTGGGAGCGGGGGTGCTCTGGTGGGTGTGGTTACACCCTCACTGCCCTTGGCAGAGCACAAGTTGGAACCTTTGAAGGTTCCGGCTGGCGTAAAGCACAGGAGGCAGAGCTGGTGCTAGGTACAGTGTGGTACTGTGCTGAGGTGAAACAGTTAATAATCCACCCTCAGCTAATCACTGAGGGCTGGTGGGAGGCACAGGCTTGGTGGAGCTGCTTTGCAGAGGCCAAGGTGCTTATCAGCTGTGTAGTGTCCCCAGCAGCCCCTGGCAATGCTGGTGCAGCTGAAGGACAGGCTTGATGGGTCTGGTGCAGCCCCATAACCTCAGACACTGTGGCTCCACCATGCAGAGCAGCATGGCTGAGCCAGCTGTGGGTTAGGTAAGGGCTCAAAAATGTTTCCTGCCACTTGCTCCAGCACAGTTCAATCTGGAAAAAAGGCATTTTTTTCCAAGTGTAGGGGAGTCAAGCTCCAATAAATGTCAGTGGAGCCCTGGTGCCTGCTCCCCTGCATCAAGCCTCAGCAAGGCACCAGGGCTTCCTGGCAGCAGGAGGGGAAGACAGAGTTGTTGGAAGAATATGTGACTGAAAGCTGAGCACAGGGTTGGTGGTGCTTTGTGTGGCTCTTGCATGACATGCAGGCTGGCTGTGGCAGTGTAAACGAACCTTTTGTTTTGCATCAGGCTTTATGCCAGTGCCAGCCCCTTTCTAGCCTTTGGGGTGATTACAGCTGTTGCTGTATGTTTCTCCCCCTCCTTTTCTTTTTCAATAGCAATTCAGTCTGCAAAAGTAGCTATTCTACTCCAGCACCATAAGCAGGCAGTGATGGCTGCCTGCAGCTAACAAGACAAACTGAGGTCTGCCTGCAGAGCCATAGTAATGGCCCTGTGGTTGTGAGACAGGACAGGACAACACAAACTGAGGCCACAGCCATGCTGTGCTTTCAGTTGAGCCTGTGGTGGAGCTGCTGTGCTTGTAGCCAGCATCTAGATGGGGCAGGTGACATATCTATCTTAGCTGGGACAGAAACAGAAGCACAGCCCTTGCACTTGCACAGCATCTTTCTGCTAGGCTGTGCTAGGCTCAGGGTGCCTGTAAACTGGCCCTTAAGACCAAAGTCTTCCCCCCCCTTGCCCAGATCCCCAGCCTCAGGGAGAAGGACTTGGGTTTGGGAGACATAGCTTTTTCTTCCATTGGACTCCATTAAGAAAAAGTCAAGTTAAGCAGTTTATTAACATTTAAAATACTGTACAGTGTGTAAACCAAATATCCCCCTCCCCACAACAACCCAGTGCTCTCAGCGGATGCTCTGGTGAATAATACTGCTTTTGGCACTGTTTGCCTTCTCTTTCTCCTTCTTCTTTATTGGGTCCATCTCAAAACAGCGCCAGAGCCGCAGTGTTTCATCAGCAGCTGCTGAGGCCACTGTTGTACCATCAGGGCTCATGGTCAGGTTCAAGATTCTGGCAGTATGACCTGAGGAGCAGTGTGCAGATCAAGATCAGCACATGCATGTTTACTCCTGTATGCTCCCATGAGCCCTGCCAGCTTGCATAGCTGTCCCCCCCACTGTCTGTGGCAGCATGATTTCAGACCCCAAGCATACATTTGGAGCAATGGTATTTCTTCCAGAGCCTGCGGGCATGCTTTACTCCTAGCAGCATGCCCCTGGATACTGTCCTGTATCAGTGATGCTGCAGGCTCAAACCAAGGAGTGCAGCTGCCTTCAATCTCTAACAATCGCCTCCCCATCCAGGCCCTGTCCACCTACCTTGCAGCTCTGCAACCTTGGTCATTGTTGGATACTTCCATAGAACCAGCTGATTCTGTGCAAAGCCATGGCCTGAAATGAACTCCTTGTAGTTTGTTGACCACAGGATAGAACAGACCTGAAAAGAGGCAGTAACACAGGTAAAACAAGCTGCTTGTGTTGATGCTCACCATTTGGAGGTGAGCATGATCCCCTCCTTCCCCATGCCTCTGGGCCTGAGGAGCCAGCAGCTCTGTGTAGGCATGCTGCCAGAAGGTGTTTGTCCCAAGCTGATGTTCATCTCTCACCTGGGAATGGGCATCGACAGCACTGAGGCAGGCACCAGAACACACGTTCCAGATGCGGATATGTCTGTCACTAGTGCCACCTCCAGTGGCTAGAACATTCATCTGCCATGGGCACCACGCCACAGCCTGAGAGAGAAGAGTTCATTTTAAGACATACAAGAGGCAACCTGCACCCAGCCAGTGCTACATGTCTGCCTTGCACACAGATATCTGTCCATGGCAGCCCTGTGCTCACCTTGACAGCACCCTGGTGCTGAGTGAAGGTCTGTACAGGAGCAAAGTCTCCACCCCCTCCTTGGGTGCATGGCCAGACGTTCACCAGATTGTCATTGCCACCACTGGCCAGGTAGCGGCCATCTAGAGACCATTTGAGGCCGCACACCTCCTGTGTGTGGCCAGCAAGGGTGGCCACATGGTGCTCAGCCACTCGGACATCATGGTGATGGATGTGCCCAGTCCGTGCGCCACTGCAGAGAGAAGAGAAGGCTTGCAGGGTCAGACGGACACGTTTTCACCCAAATCCATTTTTGTTGTTGCAAGACTGTTATACCTGCCGCTGGGTTTCAACCAGCATTACCAGCAATACTGGTCTGTTGGTGTGAGTGAAACACCCACACAAGCTCTTTACAACTTCAGCACAAAGAGCAGTACAGGAAAGAGGCCTTCTCCTCACAGTTCCAACAGATAAGGCTGAGTAAGAATCCCAAGCCAGGACAGAAACTTCTCTCTGCCATCCCTAACCCACACCACACATAGATTGAGGGATAGGAGTTTGCAACAACTGGAAACTGCCCTTGACCCACTGCTTTACCTGGAGAGGATGTAGCTGTTCCAGCTGAGGGTTCCCACACGGGCACAATGGCTGGTCATGTTTCGGAGACGTTTCTGCTGCTGAATGTCCCATAGCTAGAGAGGCAAAGCAAAAAGTT